TGTTTTGTTCCTTAGTGTTTTGCCAGTTTAGTGTTTTGTTTCTTAGTGTTTTGCCAGTTTGTTTTGGTTTCCTGGTTTAACCCTGCCGTCATTTAAATAAAGCCTCACCTTTCTGTTAAACCTTACTACTCCTCATCGTCATCTGCTTTTGGGTCCTGTTTCCACACACCTCGGCGCACCCCGCCGTGACAGTGGTTAGCTTTGAATAATAGATTTCATTTCATTTTCCTTTCATTTTCATTTATTTATTGTCAGATTCTACTGTAATTGCATATATTTTTTTCATCTCAGTGGAACACTCTGCAATTCTTTTTTCTTTTTTTTTTCTTTTTTTTTTGTGTGTGTCCCGTTTGGATCTTTAGCTATCAGAATTGTTGTCTTAAGGCCACACTGTAATTCAAACATGTTTGAACCCATTAATGTTTTCAAAACAAACACTAACAAAAGTAGCAGACCCAGTATATTTGTTAAATACATAAAAATAACCACTTTCATTAACTGTTAATAACTGTTTTACACACACAGCATCTACTTACTGTATTTTAGTATCTGTTCTAACTCAGTCAGGATCTATTATCTCTTAGTCAATGTTTTGGAGAAAAATATGCCTTCCTTCGCATTCTGAAGTCAGTCATGCATGTTGTAAATGTTTTCAGGTTTTTCTGTCTGTTTCAGCCAGCCTGAGGATTAAGCACCTGTACCTGGCGGAACCATTTCTGATTTTCACTGTTCATTGAAACAAAAAGATTCTTGTCTCGACTGATTTTTTTAAGTTGCACATCAGCTCAATTTATGTTCACCTGGTTAAAATGAATTAAGTATTGTTTTTCAAAATGCAATAATTTTAAGCCTAGAAAACTTAAATTACACAAAGGTGTTTTTATCACTTAAGAAATATTTCTAGGTTAAGTACCATTGTATCATGCTCTAAACTGGAAATTGTTATCAATGCTTTTATTAGTTCTATGTTTGAACCCTATGTTTCTCTATTTAGTTCTTGTCTATTTAGGTTCCTCCCATGTCTGTGTGTCCCCACTACATTGTCCATAGTGTCATGTCTTCGGTGTATGAGTCTGTCATGTACCCTGTGTTTAGGTCTTCCTCATCCTTTGTGTCTGAGTTATGTTCCTCCTCCCTCTCTCTCGTGTTCCCTCACTCCCTCTCTCTGGCTCTCATGTCTGCCTTACCTCGACCCTTGTGTCAAGCTCGCGTGTCCCAGTCTACGTCTCCCTATGTTTCCTTTTTTGTTTTGACAGTCTCATGTTCCCTGTTCAGTGTGTTTAGTTTTGCTTGTGGGGTCATGTTCATTTCAGCTGTGTTCCCCATGTGTTTCCACTCTCCTCGTCACCTCTCTGTGTATTTAGTGAGTTTTCTGTCATTTGTTGTCAGGTCACCTGCTTTCCATGTTTCATGTTCCAGGTATTCATGTTCCTCGTGTCCAGATTTTTCCATGGCCGTGTTCAGGGTTTTTCCATGTTTAATTCTAGTTTACTCAGTTTAGGTTATTGTTTAGTTTCATACCTTGCCCTTTGTTTAGTATTTTTTCCATCAGCTATATTAAACAGCTCGGTTTTTGTTAAAACCAAATTACGTTCCACACTTCGTTTTGTCTGCGTTTGGGTCCACTATTCACACTCCACACGGTCAGCAAGCACAGACTGTGACATCTGGTTATGACTTTTAGAGCTCTTAATGGTCAAGCACCAGCTTAAATCATTAAACTTTTGCAGCAATACGTCCCCAAGAGGTCCCTGAGGTCTTCTGATAAGGACACAGTTACTGTACATCATACAAGCTGAAAACTAAAGGACACAGCGCTTTTGCCAGAATGGGCCACAGATGCTGGAGGTCTCTCCCTTTAAGTTTTAGATCTGTGGACTCAGTGGTCTCTTATAATAAAAAAAACCCAACTCATCTTTCTGATTTGCATTTAGTTACCTCGTTCTTTATTCTGTTTTTGTTTTTAAATTTTTATTGTTTTTTTGTGAAGCACTTTGCGATCTTTGTCTTGAAAGGTGCTATATTTGAATGAAAGTACCCACTGGTTCTCTGTATCATCTGACTGTGGATGGTTATAGGATTCTACCTACATCTTTCAGTCCAATCACAAATGAAGAAAATAAATTCAATTTATACACAAAGTATATAAAAGATGGATTAAAAAGATGAAACATGAGTTAAAGTTGTGAATTTGGTTTTTGTATGCAATGAAATAACAGTAGAGCTTAAAAACAAAAAACGCAGACAGAGAGTTAATATAAATATTTGAGCCTTATTTATACACTTAGATGGTGAAACTGAATCGCTATTATCGTTTGCTTGATTTTTGTAATAATTTTGTATACACTACAAATATTGTTTGTACTCTTTTTTTTGTATTGTTTTAATAAGCCTAATAAGCCTTTTTGCTTATTATGGTGGAATTAGAAGAAAGAATGGGGGAAATGTGCTGTGCCTTGGAAAATATTTTCAAGGCACAGCAATTTTTGACTTACTAAGTATTTCAAATTAAATATTAGACGAGAAAAGAATAGGAAGAGAAAAGAACTTTCACAGAGTCATCATCCATTGTTATCATGGTGTACCTGACACATGCCACACTGCAGAGTGTCAAATTGAATCGTATCACTGGAAACTGTGACAGCTGGCATGGTTACCACTGCACACAGTCGCACTTGCACCGTTGGACCACCTGCGACCTGTAACAGCAAAGAAAATCCTCTTAGATCCAAAATGACTTATAGAGGGAGAGTGAAAAGACACAAATTTAGTTTGTGGACATGTACAGGTGTAAGCCTGTGTATACCTGGATTGGGAGAATAGCACTCGTATAACCCAAATCCAGGTTGACTCCTTGTGGGTCAAATTTAACTGTGAAACTCTTCGTCTCATCACGGGGTTGGTTCTTCATGCTTTCAAAGTCTACTGTGAAACCTGTGAGGAACCAAAAAGAGTCATAAATTATTTTAAAATCATTTAAATTAAAGAGAAATTTAAAAAAATGATACTTGAGGTGAATACTTAAATTCACCACTGTGTACAAAAGCTTTAGACATGAAGATGGTTTCAAAACTGCTACAAATCTACATTTTCTATTATCTTCTTTCAGAACACACTAAGCTAGAAAAAAACAACTATAAGAAATCAATACTTGATGCTGCTTTAAAGCAGCGCCAGTTGTCTTAAATACACTTCCAAACATATCCTTATTCCATCCATCCAACCATCCATCCATCCATCCATCCAACCATCCATCCATCCATCCATCCATCCATCCATTCTCTTCTGCTTATCCTTGTCAAGGTTGCAGGGGGGCTGGAGAGCCTATCCCAGCTACCACAGGATGAGAGGCAGGGTACACCCTGGACAGGTTGCCAGCCTGATGCAGGGCTAATACAGAGAGACAGACAACCATTCACACTCACATTCACACCTACGGACAATTTAGATTCACCAATGAACCGGACCCCACTAATCCTTATTTCAAGCATTTTAAAAAACACAGGTTGTCTTTGCCTGCGATGATGACCTAAAAAAGTAGGAGGACATTATATTACCTGTGTCCCCAAGATGTTTGTTAGTGGGATGGAAAGACACAGGTATTGATCCATTATTGCTGACCTTCACAGCACGACTCACGACTTTGCCAGGAATGACAAAACCAAAATCCAGAATGTACTCTGGGAGTTGGAACCTGGGAAAAAGATTTAAATAATAAGAATAAAACACTGGGCACAAACAAGCATGTTAGCAATATAACTTATTGTTATAGACTAAAGTCTGTAAAAATGTTTAGAATATATGTATTATAATTTTACTAAATATAATTTTGCTTTGTATACTGAACTGAAGTATCTTATACATTATATTATAGATTTGTGGACTTTCAGCGAGATATAATGACATCGTATCAAGAGTGCACAAAGTAAAAAAAGCTAAACAGTCACAAATTCCCCAGCACAGTTTGACAAAGTTCTCACTTCAAAACAGAGTCACCAAAATGCATGTGTGTAGTTGTGTTTACATACTTTATTAGCTTGTTCCACTTTCTGAAGGACTCTTGTGGTTCTTCAGTCTCCAGCAAGTTATTAGCCACAGCAAGAGCATTTTTTTTGACCAACAATCGTTCGATTTCCATGTGAAGCAGATCTTCATACTAGAGGTCAAAGAGAGAACAGAGAATAGCAGGGGATGCAAGAAGTGGTAAAAACACTCAAACCTCAACAGAGGAAACAAACAAACCTTACCAATCTACAACTGTAAATACCTCTGCAATAAGGGATTTTATTTGTGCTTAATTTTCCCTACAAATCCTCATAAATTCCCTACATGTCCACAATATCAAGTCAGCATACATATTAATAGGTATTTTTTCAACAAAAGTATAGAAAATGTGAGGTGTCACTAATATGAAGTTACTGACTGTGAGTGTGTGCGTCGCCTCTGTTGCTGCTCCTCCCTGAACAGTAAATTCATATATAAGCTTCTCTTTGACTCCATCTTTCTCCACAGCTGTTCTGGCCTGCTGTAACACGTCACTATAACACTCCTCTGCTGTAAGAGAAATCACAGTGCAGAAATAAGAAGTTGAATTTGTGTCTCAAGAACTGTCATCACAATAGAGGTCTATTATGGACCGTTTGAGCTTGATGCTTTTCAACAAAACTGGTTTAAAGAGAAAAAGAGGGAAATATGAGTTCACAAGGATAATTGACAACATCCTTATGTAGTTCTATAAGATGGTAACACACTGATGTAATCATATGTATTTATAAGTCCTACTTTCAGCCCTTTTGTCTGATGCAGAATCATTTATTTATTTTGAGCAAAAGCACTATTTTAAAGTAAATTTAAATGAGCTAAATATTCATCTTTTAGCTCATTGATTTTGGATTGAACACATCTCTGTGCATGTGTGTGTGTGTGCGTGTGCGTGTGCGTGTGTGTGCATACACAGGATTCGTGGTAAATTCAGCCTGATCCTGGGGAACACTCCCACACCAGTCAGCGTGATCTCCTCCGTGGTAGGAAAGCCACCTGCATCTGAAGCTTCTTCTTAAACACTTCAGGAATGCCCGGAAGGTAGAGTACACGGAGACCTGTACCATGCCTGCATCAAGGTAACCCTGTCTCAAACACACACACACACGCACACACACACATAAGGAAAGCCATCCTTTTCGTGATAAAATAGCTTTGAACATCCACAATTGAAATGGCAAACTCATAAGCTCACCTGAGCAGGAATGACTGTAGGCCAACCAGGTCTGACCTCATGTTCAAAGACCTTCAACTGCCGTGCTTCCTTCTCACCAACCCCTTCATCCTCCTCCTCTCTATGAGGGTGTATACTGTATTTGAAGCCCACCTTGCCCGTATTTGTCAGGGTTACATCAACTTCACCTACACAATGAAAAAGCTAGAAGCAAAGGACAAAGACTAAGAGGAGAGAGGAAACACTGTTCTGCCTTTTAAAGTTAACTGCACCTTTACTTTTATTAATGATCATGTCAAGCCGCTTACTGCAAACAGACAAAGTACTCCACCTAGTGACCGAGTATACTGAAATTGGTAGAGAAAACAATTTGTTTTTCAAAAAAAAGCATTGACCGTAATGGACATTTTTTTTTAATCTCAAGGTTTATGAAAATATGAGAAAGGATAGTTTTACACATAAGGGCCCAAGCAGGGCAAGCAAAAACATGTTACTCTGAATCAAATCCAATCTACTAACAGATGCCATGATGTACAAAAATTAAAAGTGTTATTCATTTCACTTGTCAGTGGTCATAATGTTAGGCCTGATTGGTGTATAGAAATATGGTAAATGTAAGTCTTTCTATACAGTGTTTAACTTTCTAAGTGTTCAAAACTAAGCTGAGAGATGCACATGGTGTCATTTCGAATGTTTCAGCGAATATCATTTGAGCCTTCCTCCCTTTCTTAGGCATTCACACAGGTCAACCCAACTCACTTCTTGAAGGGTCTAACAGCAATTTGCAAAGCAATGTGCTTTGGATCTGAGCAGTTTTGAATTGTATTCTCATTATTACCTTTAGAAATTTGTACTCTTTGCACCTCAGTTTAAATGTAAACTATTGTGAATTATAAGGCTCTGAGTCAAATGGGAGCCCTTTTATCGTTATCTTCATGTTAAAACTGCTCCACACAGTTCTTTCTATATTAATATAAAGGTACTAAAATTAAATCTGAGATTTGGTAACTTAATGTAGATTTCATTATTTTATTTTAAATTGAATGTGTTTAAGCTGAGAGTCCAAATACTTACACTTTGAACTTTAACCACTGGAGAGATGGAGCTGGCTGGAATAAAGATACCCGTAAGAAACGTAAGAATTAAGGTGCCTTGTATACGCACCTGCTGGCCAAAGTCCAAATGGGTGGTGTCAAGGGTGTAGCTGATTTCTGATGCGTGTCCTCTGAGAATGATTTCATATGTAGGCCCGTCCTCTACATGGCACTGCGCGACCACCTGTCTGCTGATATTTTCGTGGCCGTAGAAAGAGAACGTGACTGCCTGCTGATCCCCAGGTTGCAGATGACCATGTGTCGGCAAAATATCAAATATCTACACACACAACGAGAAAACCAGATGTTATTTAGGTTTTACTCTCAGCAATGTTCTGAATCTCAGTTTTGAAAGATGGTGGACAATACATTTAAAATATTTACAATGTATAGACAAGAATCTAATGAAATTTGATTATAAAAAAATTACTCTATGATTGAATCAGTGAAGAACATAATGGTAGCTGCAACTAGAGTCCAAATGATTTATTCTGTTTTTCAGCTGCTTGCTTTAAGCGTCATCACATGTCACCAACCCTCTGCATGCCTTCTTTCACTACATCCATGAATCTACTATGAAAATTCATGGATGAACAAAAAGAAGAACACAGGAGAAATGCCCTTCAACCATTATTCATGTTGCATGGATTGTCCATCAGAGGGCACTGTTGGTAATCTGCTTGGAACGCCACAACACAACACAACTGGCTTGTGACAATAAAACAATTTTATCTTTTTTAAGGGCATTGTTGTATTATTTTAGCAAAGACTCATAAGTAACTGGACATAAATGTTATGTCTAGTTTCTTTTGATAACAAATCTGCTTATGTTTCGTGTGCCTGAAAGAAAAGAAGAAATTTCCTACATGGAAATATTTGCTTACCTCCTCCACACGAACAGAAGCTTGTGTGCTGCTCTGTTGATCTGCAGCTAGCAGGGGGGTTTGAGGAGCTGAAAAGGCAGGTGAAAGAGTTGCAGAGGAGAGCCTCCATTCTTCCTGTTGACTTTCTGAAAGTTTCTGCTTCTTTTTCTTTTTTACTTTCAGCATCTCTGTTTTTCTATAAGAGCAAAATAGTCAAATAAAGCATTCCTAAACTTAAAAATATATTTTTCATAATCACTGCATTGAAATCTTACAATAAATGGAACATATGAAAAATTCTCTGCAAAGAAGGAAAATATGATACTATCTTTTAGCATCTTGGTGGAAAAAAACCCAAACAAATTCAAGATCTTCTTGAAGTGGACCTGTTATTTCATTTTTTTTTAAATCAGAATCAGTTGATCGTCCAGTTGTATTTCCTCTCTCTTTAAGAGAACTTTACTCAGATCTGAAGTTAAAATATTTAGGATATTTCCTCACTTTGGCATCTTACAGATCCAAGATTTCTTTTTTTAAAAACAAGTACAGATATTAGAAATTAGTTAACTCACTGAAATGTTTTGATCATGTTTATACAAACACACATGATTCTGTTGTGGATTTGCTTTAGCTGTCAGATACTTGATCTCAAACTTGACACTAGACTAGTTGGTCAAAATAAATATCCAAATAGGTTCTGTATTAACACAGTAATAGCACTATAATCTCTTTCTTAAGTGATGTGGCTGGCTGTTTCTG